AAACACAATTACAAAACCATTTTACATAAAAAATTATTTGTGATATCGTCATTTTTTACTTTTTACTTTTTATCAATAAAAGGTATATTTAGGCAATTATTTTCAAGAAATAAAAGCTTTGCAACAGTTAATTGTAGTAATTTTTGCTGAAAACACGGATATTTTTAGGAGACTAAATAGAAAATTCTTTTCACAACTTTAGGTGAATTTCTAGTCTTTGCCTAAACGAGGCATTTTTCTCAAAAGTGGGATAACTGTAGTATAGTTGGACGATGATACAAAAAAATCGCGAATAATTTATATTTTTAAAAACATAACTTGGCTTAGCTGAGCCGCTGAAAAGTATTTTTTTAAATGTTGTTTACAATAATCGTACTATCGTTTAAATTAAATTGTGTCTAGTTTACAGTGTAGTAATTGTTGATTACTTAAATTAAATATTTCTTTAGTTATCGCTTCCTATTCACTAAAAAACAGGAATCTCTTAAAAATACACAAAACTTGGATTTCCTAATTTTCTGCTGAAAATTGGGCCATTGTTAAGGTACAAATTAATAAGCAAATCTGATGAGCGCAACACACAACGTTTACTTCTGCTCAACTTTGAATCGAAATTATTTTCTGGCCCTGTTAGGCAATTATAAAATTTTTGAATTGCATTTTTAAATGAGCTAAAGCTAAATGATTACAGCTAACAAATCATAAATACTACTAAAATAACGAAAGTCCTATTTATTATATCACTGATTGATTATGGATTGTACGACTATTAGTTATCAAACTGTTATTTTGAATTGCAAAGTTTATTAAAACGGAATTAAGAGATTTGCATTGTCTGTCTATTTGCATTGGATTCTGTTGGAATATCACAAAGAGAAAATTCATCAAATTATTCACTGATTTAATTTTCTAAAAAATTACATGATGATTTTTTGGAATAAGGAACCGATAGATACCTAATTATTGCAATATAATATCAGATCAATAGTTATTTAACTACAGTAAATATATTTAAGGTTATAAACGTAGCTATGAAATATTTTTATATTTCACTTCTTTTTTCACACAAGTACAATGAAATAGTATCTTAGGTTATAAACGTACCTATGAAATATTTTCATATTTCACTTCTTTTTTCACACAACTACAATGAAATAGTATCTTAAACAATGTCATTGCTTTGAATCCGTGGTCTTTAAATACTTTTTCAAACATAAAAAAAAATTTAAAGTGTACAATTAGTAAGAAAATTCTATTTAATTTCCTTGAAATCACCTGATTTACGTTAAATAATGTTAGTTTTTAGAAATTATTATTTATATTGTTTTCGTCATTCTCCTTTACTTTCTACAACATTCTATATTATTTTATTGTTTTTTTTTTTAATTCTTCTCTTTCCAACGATATATTATACGTATACCTTCTGTACGTCTACGTATAGACTATCATTTCCGAAAATTCATTTTAAATCTGGATAAGTATTTTTCTTTTTTTCTCCTTTATTTAATTATCAAACTAGTCCAAAAGTTATATTTACTATTTTTCCATAACTCCTAACAATGATAAATAGTTATTATTTATAATAAACCAAATTAAAGGTATTTTAGAGAAAGACAAGATAATGTCCTTTTTTCGATACGATGCTGTGCTACATCGAAAGTAATTTATCAATACTGTCGCAACATCCCTAATAATTCGAATCGAAATATAGTTAGTATAATATTATAGTTGGTTAGAAGAAAAAACGATCTTTGGGTATCTTTTTTGGACTATTTTAATACGTTATGTCAGAATCAGTCATAGAATAGGCTACGCCACAATCAGTGATAGGAAAGTATAGGAAAACCCTAACTCAGAGATCATCGAAGGCAAAAGAAGTCCTTTAGACCGTTCCTAAACTCATTCATGGAAATCAGCGCGCGTTCCTTTATTTATTTATTGAATCAACCGTTCTATAGGCTTTTGAGTTAGGTTGAGCTGCTAGAAGTAACCTCAGCGTTATTATTTCAATACTCCGCCCACTCCCCACACTTTACAGGGCGCTTAATTGCTCAATGTTCATATACGTCTTCATCTAAACTACCTTTAATATGGTTTAGTTTGAAAATTTAACTCTCTTTTATTGACAGTAACTATAAAAAATGGCTAAATATAACTTTTGAAAGAATTTGATAAGTTAATAAAGCAGAAGGAAAGAAAAATGCTTATCCAGGTCGAAAATGAATCTCCGGAAATAATAGTCAGAAAGTGAACGTATAATATATCGATGGAAAGCGGAGAATTTTAGAAAAAATAATATCAAATAAAGGACATTAAAGAAGGTAACGGAGAGTGACAGAAAAATATATAAATAATAATTTCAGATAAGTAACATTATTTAACATCAACCACATGTTTCCAAGGCAATTAAATGAAATTTTCTTACTAAGTGTTTTTAAGTTTGAAAAAAGTATTTTAAATCAAGCCAATGCCATTGTTTAAAATACTATTTCATCGTACTAGTGTGAAAGAAGTAGTGAAATATAAAAATATTTCATGGATACGTTCATAATCTTAAATATATGTACTGTATATATATTAAAAAACCATAAACATAATACATTAGACTTCTACTAAAAATATATGGTAATTAATCGGTTAATATAATATTTCGTAAGTCTATAGTCTTTACATTCACTTTCATTTGTCTGAAAATATTTATTTATTCCATAAACTAGGTGGTAAGTTAAATTTTTGTGATGCGTGCACCGCACCAATTTTTTTTTGTATTGGCTAATGTAACATTAATTATTTTAACTTTTATATTGAAATTTGTTTTGTTTTGGATAATAAACATGAGTCCTATATCATGCTAAATCTAATTGTAATGCCAGAAAAGAAATAATAGCGAGCGAAATCGCGATTAACAGTTAACAAATTTAATAACAACTTAAATACTAAAATAATTTTTCAATAAAATTGTATAGCAAATTAAAATCTTCAAAAATTTCAATTAATTATAATAGATATTACAGTTATGTTGCAGATTAGCAGTCATTTTAAAGTTCCCAAAAGATTCTTCAGTGAAAACCAACATTATTCTTATTTTTCCCGTGTGATTTCTGTTGAGTTTCATAGAAATATTTTTTATATTCGTCGATTTTAATTACAAACCGTGTTATTATTTGAGAAAGACACAATGGGCAGATAAATGGCTCATTGTTTATGCTAAAACAGTAAACGATTGTTCAGTCTGTAACTCGATAACTTAGTTTTATTTATATCATTTAGCACTAGATCATAAATATAAATATATTTATTTTTTATTAAATATATGTTTGTTGGTTGTTAGCATACATGTTCCAGGTAATAGTACAATCAATAAACATGTAGTGGCTTTATATCAAAGACGAACATGTCATTTTTAACAAGTTGAGAAAAGGATAATTTTTATTTTATAGGTTCAATTTAAACCAAATCTAATGATTTATTATCATGATTCAACTTGAACATTTTTAAATAAAATCATCAAAAACAATCTGAATTGTACTTAAAAACAAAAATTGATTTTTCGTCCACTTTCTGAAAATAACAGATGTTCGTCTTTGATTTTAGGAGACTCATACTATATATATATATATATAAATAGTTGTCAGAAATAAAGACATATATATCAAAACAATTATGATAAAAATTAATATTGTTACATTGTTTTTTTCCTCTTAAGTGTGGTAGATTATGTCATCAAAGTCACTTCCTGATTGAGTTAAATACATTGTTTATGAAATATAAAATAAAATAAAAACATAAACACACAGTGAAGAAAAATACGTTGTGAAAAAAAAATATAACTTTTTTCTTTAAAGAATACATACTTAAAATACAATAAATAGGTATTTTTCTATTCCACATTAAAATGCGAGATATTTTATTATAAGCATTATTCAATCAAAATATTTAATTTTTTTCATAATATAGAAATTCTATCACTTATAAAGATTTATCAGCTTTGGGCGTAGCAATTAGCAAACTACGGAACAATTAACTACAATAAACAAAATTTTAAATATTTGTTAACACGACAAAATATATGAAAATAAATTTATAGTTTCCTTAAGCATAAATTAAAAATGAAAAATTGATTTTTTTTTGTAAAAACAATTCAATAGTTCGGATTGAGTGGAGGAGAAGGGGAGAGATGTTATGCTTTAAGAATATTTTTGTGACAATATTTATAAATTTTAAAAAACAAAATGTGAATAACTCTTTTCTCACTGATAATTGTCCATATTGTGAACGAAGGTCATATTATTCAGAAAAGTAATTGAAAATAAAAATAAAATAATAATTTTATTTTGGAATGTCAAAGAAACAAAAATACTAGACCAACTATAATTAAAAACATGTTTTTAAACCTATTTTTGTACTTGTAATTTAAACTTTTAAGCCAGTTTCAGGTAATTAACGAACGATATTCAATTAATTATATTAAGGCTGAAAGATAGTCAGGATATGCAGTTAATAATGATGTTTAAATTGTCAATTACTGACTGCGTATTATGATAAATTTTCAGCCTTAAAATTTCAATAGTTAACTATGTAACCGTCTCTAAATAAATTATATTTTGTTCGTTTTTATATCTGGACTGTCAGATTCAGTGTTTTATTAATGTATAAATAAAAAAAAAAAATGAAAACAATTTAAAATATCAAAATAAAAAGCCATACCTAAATACTAATAATATATCTTCAACCATTGCCCATATTGTGACCGAATGTTGTGGCGAATGTTATATTATTAAATAAAGCAGTTCAAAATGAAAATAAAATAATAATTTTATAATGGAATGCCAAAGAAATAAAAATGTGAGGCCAAATAGAATTCAAAACACGTTTTTATACCAATTTTTGTAATTTTATCATAGTTCTTTAACGTTGTATAATTGTAAAAAATTTTAAAAAAGGTTATTGAAGAAATTGAACCAATTGCAGGTGATTAAATGTCAAAAGAAAATACTCACATACTGCCAGAGACTTGAGGTGAAGACTTAGCTTGATACGAAGTATCGTCGTCGTGATCTTGGCACTAGCCATCGCGGACACCGCACCACTACTGTAAGAAGTCGAAGACCAAGGCCACAGTTCGTGCGCCATCGACGACAGACCGATCGAGGCCGAACTTGTTACTGACGCAAACCATGAACAAATAGCAGCCGATATCAAGGAGATATGTGAGAGTGCACTGTGGATAAGGAAGTCAAAGTTCGCCGTCGCCTGTTGTGCCGTCCAGTCGCCGCTGACGTTCAGGAAATGGCACTACCAAGGTGGATGCCGCGTCCTCACGACATGGCGGGGTCCGTCCGCCAACGGAGCGCACTCCGGACTGGGCGATTGCTAGGACCGATTTAGCTCGGCATTCTACAACAAGAACCAGAGTAAACGCGGATCTATTAATATCGCCTGACTTGGTTCTCTTAATCAATGGCGCTACGTAGCGGAATGCCGCTTCGCTTTTCGAGGATATTTAAGGAGCTGTTGCAGGATATTTAAGGAGTTGTTGCAGGATATTTAAGGAGTTGTTGCAGTATATTTAAGGAGTTGTTGCATTATATAGCGGAACTTAGATATAGCCAATGACAACCACTCCGAAAGGAACGACGGAAACCGGTGGGTTTAGGGGAGGAGAAGCTTTCGGATCGAACCTCCACCAAAAAGAACCAATCTTTTTTCTTTCATTGGTCCATATTTGTTTTTGTGAAGGCGCGAGCTAAATATTTAAGCAATCATAATCTGTTCTCTTTTCAAATTATGACGTATGTATGTATTTCAGCTACTTAATGTAAACACATGTTGAGAAATTTATTCCTAAAAGCATTATTGTTCCTGTAAACACTTTTTCTTTTTTTACACGCCTTCAAGGACTACTTAAACATTGTATAAATATTTTTTTTTTTCCGGAGTAACTACCGTTATTAAAAAAAATCTACCAAATGAGGCCAGCATTGCTTCCTCACCATTTTCATTGGTTCCACACTTACCTATATCTAAAGTCCAATAATTGTTAGTTTGTTCATCAAATATTCGGGAGAAGCAATATTCGAAAAGTAATCAACCAAAAGCAGAAGTATTTTTTTTAAGTATTGGATGGAGTTGATGAATTTGATTCCTACCTAATCATTTATTTATCAATCCCTAACTTCCCTCCAAATTTGGGCCAAAACGAAGGTGTGGCTTTGGAGAAAAAAAAAGACAAAGTAGTGGATGGAATTTAATAAAATAGATACAGCATCATTATCATATTACTTTCAATCATTTTTTTTCACCTCCTTTTTTTTTTTTAAATAGCCGAACTAGCCGTTTCTGAAATATTAGCACATCTAAGAAAATATATTTGCGCGTGAGCAAACGGAAGTGCTGCACAGAATTTAATAATATCGATACTTTATCATTGCTTTACCAATAGTAATCTTTCTTTCAACATTGAAACAAATCGAACGAGCTGTTTCTGAAATGTTGACATACCTGAGAAAATACATTTCCGCGTGCGTAACCGGAAATGCTGTAAGCAATCCAATAATATCGATAATTTATCATTGTTTTACTAATAACAACCTTTCTTCGAACATTGAACCAAATCGAATGAGCTTTTTCGGAAATGTTGGCATATCTAAGAAAATACATTTGCGTGTGCGCAACCGAAAGTACTATATGGAATTTAATGAAGTTTATATGGGGCCAAATTTGATCCTTGATGTCTGGAACGTAAAACGCGAGTGGAAATTTTCGATCTTGAGCATAAAACATTTTTCAACCTCCGCACGAATAAAGAGTTTCCCTACCTTCAACAGTGAGGAAGCAATAATACATAAATGCAAAACCATCCACAATTAAGTTCTGAATTGGCTATTGCTGTAATGGAACGATGGATCAATCAATCGTAGGGGCTGGATTGTTTGGAGTGAAGGCAATTTCAAGGCCCTTGTTTTCCAACGACAGATTCATTATTAATAGTCGACTAAGAATAAAATTAAATGTGGCCATCATAAAATTTGAGGTTTTATGTTTAACCATAAATAAAATTGAAAAAAACCTTAGAAATACAACACAATCATTTATTATTTCTGAATAAATAGTAAATAGAAATCAATAACACATTATAAAAATCATTCAAAAAATATAATTAAGATGATTTTATTTTATTTGTATAGCCTTTTGTATAATGGTTCCAAAAATCTTTTTTCCCTTTATACTAGCCAATAAAACTGTGACGCAGCTGAGAGAGAAGTGTTGGGATCTCTTAGAGCCCTACTTTTTCACCACAGGTAGGGAGGAAAGCTTGTCTCGGAGTTGTCCTGAATGAATATTTCTAAAAATTGTACCCGAATATGCCGCACCTGTCATGGCATCAGACTGGTGTTGACAATCAGCAGAAGTTAAGTGATAAGTTAGGATTGGCATTATAGGCATGCGGAAGGATAGCACCCAGCAGCTCCTCTTCATGGTCATTATTTACTTCCTTGATTTAGGTGAGGAGATCTCTCATCCAGCTCCTTTTTAGTCTCCTCCTGATGGGCTTGTCAGTCGTGGCTAGAGTTGCCCAAAATCGGTCTTGGTCTTGGTCTTACACTTTTGCAATATCAAGACCAAGAACAAGACCAGTCCCTGCAAGACTCTTGCGGTCTTTCAGTAAAGTCAAACTGAAACTATTTTCAGACATACTCGTAGTACGGTGCTTAAACATTCTAACCGTGCTTTAAGTCTAAACAGCGTTGTTTTTCCTCTTGAATTGTATATTTGAATTTAACGTTCTAAATAATAACAAAAGCGCATGGATCGGAGCAAGAAAAAAACCCGTTTTATGAATAAAAATTAAGATAAAATAGTTACTAATACTTGACCATTTTAGTTACTTCAGTAAAACCTCTCAGAAGTGGACACTTTTGGGAAATCAAAAATTGTCCGCTATAGTGGGATTTCCGTTTTACAAAACCATGATACCATAGAATACCATGATGAAAAAAAAATAGAAAAGTAAAATTGTATTATATGATTTATAAATCGTGGAAATAAAATCGATTATTCCATCAAACAAATTTTTTTTAAATTTACTATTTGTTATGGGTAGATAAAATCATTACAATTCTTTCACTTTCTTCTTCAAAATAAAAATTGTTTTTCAGCCTACAAAGTTGTGACAGAACTTGTTCAATGTTCAGTGAGGATTTGGAGAACTCATAGATCACGGAAATATATTGTCAGGGGTGCTCAGAAAGGGGTTTCATAAAAATTTTTGAGGAGCCGTATTTTAATGAGTTTTTGAATTTTTGAGAGGGGAGAATACACAGTGAGAGAATTACTCGAAATGATGGTACGAAAGCTGGAGGGTTAAGGCATGAGCCTGGCGAAATCATTCATATGTTACTAGGATTAAGGTTCTTATCGTTATCTTTAAAATGCCTAACCGCCAGGTTTTAATCGAGTAGCTAAATTGCGAATACTAAGTTATTCCGATATATTCATTAATAAGATGAGTTAAATGCTATTAATGAATAACTTGTTATTAACTTTTCTTTGAAATTTAACCGTAACCGTGTTTACATGTTACAATTAAATCTGTAGAAATGACAACAAAAGGCTAAGACTATAAACTCTATTTTAAAACCGTATTCCCAGTAGGCGTTATTGAACTAAGCGGCTCGTTGCTGTCTGTTATGGAGAAACATTCCAATCAAAATCTTCGTCTCAAGTCTGTCCGAATCCGATATACAGAAACTGCGATATGAAATCATTTAAATAGTAAAATTATTGAAAATTAGCTGGGATTATACAATTTGTCGCGTAATATCATGGAAGTATATAGTGGTAATATAGCTACCCATCAAACATTTTTGAGATGACGGTGGCACAATGTAGCCTCATAAATGGACTCCATAAAAAAGTCACGGGAGTTTTATTATGCATAAAAATTATAAGTTATAATTAACACCATCAACATAATTATTGTAAAAGGGTCAATATAATACTATTTATACAAATAAATTTGTGTATATCTTTATATATACATTTTTTTTATGTACTCATATGTTTGAATACGTTAACTAAATAATTGTACTAGTTGACTTTTCTCGAATTGCGAATTGTATTTAGTTTGCATATTTTATTCTTTCATTTCGATTAATTGTTACTGATTTCGATTTTTTTTTTCTTTGATATACTAGGACAAGGGGGTAAGACAAAATATTCTTGCTCCCTCTCTATTTTTATTGGGGTATCGCTCCCTCGCCCTCTCCCCTGTGATTTTCTTTCAATAGCAACAATATCATCTGCAGATGGAATATTTTCTAAAGCATCATTAATAATTAGAAAACAAAGAAATTGGTTAAGTGATTAACAGGGACCCGATTTTAGTACAGTTAAAAACCGAAAAACATACAGTATACAACTCAAAATGTGCAAAATCGTACAGTGAAAACTCAACATAAAGGTAAAATTGTGTTAATAATTCCTTAAAAATGCATAGAGTATAGTTTATGTTTATAAATATAGAAATATTTAATTATAAAATGCTTATCTCCTCTTGTGTTAGAATTAGAGTCCTTAAATTTAAGTAAGGTGTAACATGTTGTAGCGTGAGACAAAACTTAATTGTAATTCAACATTTCAGGATGATTAAACTAAATCTAGCTGAAAGAAACATAATATAAAGTTAATCATAACTTCATAACAAAATGAACATATTTGAATTGAGGCTTTATGATACAGGTGTAGGTCAATTAAGTTTTAAAAAATGTGGATGTTGAGTAAAGTCAAATTTCCTTAGTTTTTATTAGAATCCACACTGCTTAGAATAATGATGTGTATTCTAATAAAAACTAAGGAGCAGCGTGTGCTCTCGGATGCCATGGAGAGATGTTCCATTAGCTGTTCTTTTTGTCCTCATGATGTTTCAATAAGCGGAACGTTGACAGGTTTGTTTTCTTTTTCTACATTTTGGAGGAATGATGCTGCGTGGTTTGGAATTTTTCCAAATTATAACCTAAAATATGCAACAATCTATAGATTGTCTTTACTCTACAACTCTTCTATTCCATATAATCGGGGGGAGGGAGGAGAGTTATCACTATCCTACTTGAGAATGCCTTAATGTATATAAT